CCATCTGGTGAGTTTCAAGGCTAATGGATGGTGTGGTTGAGTCCGGATCGTCGTTTACTTGAAGTTTGATGACAAACTTCGTTGAAATCGGTGGCTAGATCATCAAGAATCAAACCAAGTTTTTCTCCCCCCTTTTCTTGATGAACTCCACGGTTTTTAGAGAGAGAAGAGAGGTTTTAGATGATGATGAATAGTGTTGGTCCATGTGGCTAAGTCCACTTAAGTGAGGTGGGCCCCACCGCCACCTCACACGATTTCAAACTAATTCAAATCTCCCGCCTATTCCATTAAACGTTTATAATTTCATAACCTATTTAGAAACTCTAATTTTTAACATTAACCATTGTCCTTTAATTATCCTTGATCAGATGAATCCAGAGTTTTCCGGTCATTCGGAGAAATCGCAGTTTTAAGCTGTTATGCGCGCCGTGGGCACGCTTCCCCAAACACACTAATTTACAACAATTTCCCCCAGAATTCATATTTCCTAGTCCTATGTACCATTTATAACTTACATTCAAATCTAGAGCTCAAAACTCAATCGACACGCTTTACGCTGCAATTGTACCGTGGTATTTTTACTCGGTAAAAACACTATTCACCGAATTTTCCGAAACTTGCCTAACCACTCAATTTTTCGTTCTAAATCCATTTCCAGGGTTATTTTTATCATTTGAGATCTCCTACTCAATTTTACCTTCCTAGGGTTACATGTTTGGCTAATTACCGTTTTACCCTTTCTTTGTATTTGACCTAATTTTTAGAATTTTCACTAATCTTTCTCTTTAATCCTTATTTAATATATTAATATATTAATATATATTTTAGAAATGTGAGGTGTTATATTGCATGTAACATCCCGAGCGCTGATGAGGGCAGGGAGCGATCGCCGGTGCAAAGAGGCACGGACAAGGAGCGGCTCCTGACAGGCTTCTAGCGGGGGGTTACGTGCATGAATGAATCGAATCGACACCGAAAAGAGAAGGATTCTAAAGATTGTGCAGGCGTGAGACTGCACAGTTTGGGAGAGCTTATAAGAATTAATTGGTACTACCTATATTAACAAGATGCATCTTCTTTTTGGTAGCTTGGAACGGAAGAACTCCATAGTTAAGCGTGCTTGACTTGGAGCAATTCTGGGATGGGTGACCTCCTGTAAAGTTTTTCCAGGAAGTGTGCGAGTGAGGAAAAATCACACATAAAAGTCTCGTGTTAGTATGTGGAGATAGTCATTGATTCTTGAAGCGGCCGGACGTTACAAGTGGTATCAGAGCAGAGCCTCTCTTCCAGTACGGTGTGGTTCGAGGACGAACCAGGCGGAAGCTAGTGGGCATGTAACATCCTGAGCGCTGATGAGGGCAGGGAGTGATCGCCGGTGCAAAGAGGCACGAACAAGGAGCGACTCCTGACAGGTTTCTAGCGGGGGGTTACATGCATGAATGAATCGAATCAACACCGGAAAGAGAAGGATTCCAAAGATTGTGCAGGTGTGAGACTGCACAGTTTGGGAGAGCTTATAAGAATTAATTGGTATTACCTATACTAACAAGATGCATCTTCTTTTCGATAGCCTGGAACAGAAGAACTCCATAGTTAAGCGTGCTTGACTTGGAGCAATTCTGGGATGGGTGACCTCCTGAGAAGTTTTCCCAGGAAGTGTGCGAGTGAGAAAAAAGCACACTGAAAAGTCTCGTGTTAGTATGAGAAGATAATCATTGATTCTTGAAGCGGCCGGGCGTTACATACGTCGTCTTCATGTCTTGTCTATTTGTTGTCTTTAAGCATAGATTATCTGGTCGGCGATACTTGAGTGCTTCAAGAGGATCTTCTATCTAGGTTTCGGATGTATAGTCGCTCAGATATTTAACTCTTCAATCATAATTCGTTCGACAATAGTAACTTCAAAAGTTGTTGACGCAGAAATCATTCGATTGTAAGGATATGTTGGCGAGCCCGTGTGGAACCCAGTAGCCGGGAGATGCTGACAACCATAATAAAGATGTCTTGACAATCTGATAATGATTAAATAATGTCGGCAGAATTGTATATGCCAGCTTCTTGAGAAATAACGTTGTAGATGAGAGCTTCTAGAGATGATAATGTGTTCCAAGAGAAAGATGTGATGGAAATTCTGATGATGTATATTCCCTTCTTTAGCGATAAACATTGTCAGTGGTATGAATGTGTAATAATTAATGCACAGGGACTTGGGTCTTTGATGACCAGTTGCTGAAATATTTTGCTTTATGATCTTGACCTACAATAGCTAATGTAATAACATTTAAATAATAATAAAAATGTGCCTAGAAGGATGTTGGCCAGACGCCGACTGATCTAGGACTTTTACCGGGAGTGAGAATTATCCCGGCCTTCATTGTTTATCGGGGGTGAGAACTGGCCTAGTTTGTAGTGCGATTCTCACAGAAGCCGCCAATGAACCATTGGTTTATAGATGTACCCTTGGAAGATGTAATATGTTGATGTAGGGGTACTCCCAAAGTCATGGTATCAACTAAAGCCCTACTAGAGCTTCCCACATATGTATATCAAGGGGGAGTGTGTGAGAGTGGAAGTGAGTGGAGAAGAAGATTAAAGAGTAAGATAACAGATACCGCTTCCATGTGTGTGAGAGATATTTTTAGAGGGGATCTCTTTGTCGAGCCTGGGAGAGAGAAAGGAAAGAGCTGTTACTTAGCCAGCCTAGCCTGTTCAAGTTAGGGATGCTGAACCCTCTGTCTAAGTGCAGGAGTCGCAGTGCATAGAGGAGAAGGGGATCCAATATGATGCCCTCTAGAAGAATCTAGAAGTGGGCTGTAAGAGTGGACCCAATTGATAAGCTCGTAGATATGGTCGTTCAGAACACAATTATATATTCATATTCATTATTTGACTCTGTGATTTTCATTAGTGAACCTGAATTTTTTTGGTCAAGAAAATTAAAATATCGGGAAAGTGACTCAAAACAAAGTGTCTAAATATTGCGTTAGTGAATATTTTATTTTATGAAAATTTTAAATTATTTGTGAAATTTATATATAAGAAAATCTACTTTGCACTGTTTCAATGGCAGGGCCAAAAATATACTTACGCACATTAATTTATATTTATATGATTTTTATCTTCTGACGACAATTAAAATATAATTTGTAAAAACAAAAGTTTACAAATCTATACTAAGTATACCCTATAAAAGACAAGTAACGTAATAGAGAAAACGATTACGAGTAACAAGCATTATTGTACTTAAATAGCAATAATCAAAATCAGAAACAGATTGTCATTTATTACGTGTAGACATGTCACTGTTTTGCTTGGCACCATTTGGCAAAACTGCGTACTATAATGCAATACATATTCCTGTAGAAGGCTACATTACATTGGGATATTGATATGATATGATATTTCGATACATTAATTATAAAAAATACTAGATTTTAATAAGTTATGACATGTTTTAATATTGTATAATATTTTTAATTTATATAGTATATATTATATTTAATGTTCAATAATTTAATATAAAAATAAATAAATATCATATATCTTATATATTTATATTAAACTCAATAAAATAATAATCATAATTCAACGAATTTAAGAGTTGAAATTAAAAATGCAACATAAAGCCATCTTCTAACTCTTTTTTGATTGAGTGTTAGAGTGTCAGAAAATATCGAAAAGTAAGTATCGGTGTATCTAGAAAGAGATAGGGTCCCATTTCTATTTTTGGATCATGTCTTTAATGTCATCAAATTCAGCAACACCAGCAACATGATTAGATGAAGACTAATAGAAATGGGAAAATGGTGAGAAAAAATAGACTCCATAGAGATAAGACAGAGAAGAAGAACAAGAGGATGAAAAAGGAAGAAGAAAGAAAGTGCTATAATAATAAAATAAAAATGAATAAAATTAAAAATAAAATAAAATAAAAGTTAGAGAAAAACGTTATCTGAGCTTTTTTAGAGCATTATAGCTCTTTCAACACATTTGTGAAACTTGTCCTCACTTCATACTCAGTCGCACTTTCTCTCTCTTCAACGTGGCCTTGAAAGTTGAAACCCCTCACTCATGCCTTAATATTTTTTTTTTTTTTATAACTTTCTCGGAAAATCGAGCTCCCTCTCTCTCTAAGTACACGTAAGTGAGTATCATTAGTTATATTAATTTATGAGGTTTTCACTCATCATTTAACTTCACGTAAAAAAAATTTCTACACACATAATATTTTGTGAGGTCATTTTTTTTAAAAAAAAAAAAATTACGGCACACAAAACGAATTTCTATAATATTACAGAATCACTTTTCCTACACCATAACTCTTATAAAACCCTTAATTTATTACATACAAAATTTGAAGATATTGTTTATTTTTTTTTAATATTTTTACTAACCGATTCATTTTTTAGAATTAATTCGATAGCAATTAAATATTTTTTCCTCAACAAATACATTTTTCAATTTTCAAATCTGAAACTTGCATTCTCCACCTTAGGTAGCCTTGCTACCACTCTGCCAACACTTGTTGAATTTATTAGTTTTATATTTTTATTTATACCAACACTTTGTTAGTTTTATTGGTCTTATTTATGGATTATATTTATTGTATTCAACATGAGATATAATTTATTTTTCTACACACAAATAATAAAGATAAATGAGGTAGGATCTTTTGACACTGTCAAATTTGAAATTTGACACCTTATCTGAGAGCCGTTAGATCAAAAAAGATCAACCTGATTTGTAAGCATTTAATACCATTGATTTTTTTGATCAAACAGCTATCAAATGAGGTGTCAAATTTCAATTTTGACACTGATGTCAAAGGATCCTACCTCAAAATAAATTCCACTTTTAACTTTTTTTTTCTCCAATTATTTGTGAACTTTTTTATAATTTTATTTTAGTAACATAAGATAATTCATTTTCAATATCATAATTTTTTTATATATATATATGATGCCTGTGAGATCTACTTTGCAGTAGTGAATAGCATAGCAGAGAGATAGAGACTAGTTGTGGCAGATGAAAAGAAAATCAGAGAAAGGTAAAGATTTTTCAGAACCCTAACTACTATGTGAAACTGTACGGTATTTATTATTGTGTGATGAAACTCCCAATCATCATCGTCGTTGAAATTCGTGTTACTGTTTGTCTCTGTTGCTTCTTCTTCATCTTCTTCAGCAGCATCAGATCCACGCCAACGCTTTCACTTCCTCTCTTATCTGTTACTTGACCTTTCACAGTGTAGGGTTTTGTCTTTGCTACTACGTTTTTGAACTCTTTTTTTGTTAGTGTGTTTTTGGAACTGAATTATATTATTATTTTTTGCGTGCTGTTTTGTGCTGGTTCCGTGATGCTCTACGATGATCTAATATTTGTCTTCACTTTCTTTTTTTATTAGTTCTTTTTACTCTGCTGGATGCTGTAAATTTTGTTGTTGTGGTTCTGAGGATTGTCAAGGTGGTTTTCGTTTACTTGAATAATATTTTTTGTTGTTGCATATTATGAAGAAAAAGAAGAAGATGATTTTGTTGCGTCCTTTTTTTTGTCATTGAAGTTCCTCTGTGATTTTCCATTTTGAGCGTTACTTGAAATCAGTCTTGTTAGTGATGTATTCTTCATAGCTGGAATTGCAAGTTATTTACTGTTTCTGTTATTTTACTTATATTGTTGCGTTAACTAACTCGATGCAGGATTCAAAAAGTTCGAGGAGGAAGTGGTTAGATTTATCAAGGGATCCTTCTTGGATTAGAAGTGAGAGTCTTAAAGGGTACTTGAGAAGTTTGAGGTGAATTGGATTGACTTTCAGTCATGTTGAGGAGACGAATAAAAATATTAGTAAGGTTGAGCTGAAGAGATTTTGCGATGGTATTCAGGTTGACTTTACCAAAAACATCAGATTTGTATCTGATGATCACAGTTAATGTTTGAATATTATAGATTGCACACTGTGGCGTACACGGAGAAGCTAGTTGTTGAATTTGCGGGAGTCTTCAACTGGCTTGCAAGTTGCAAGTCTTTTGTCCTTCAATTCTCTTGCTTATTATAGTTAACACTTGAAGCTGCTAACATCTAGGTGAATGACTTGTAAATTGTAATAGATGGGATGTTTCGCTAATAATATACTTAACTAGCTGCAGTATAACTATGGCTCACTGAGAGTTTGCTAGTTCAAAGTGTTCTGAGTATCATAATTTATCTGTAGCCTTATTCTTGGTGGTACTAAAGAGTAAAATGGAAGCAGGGACTTTAAGCAATAATCATGCTCCTGGTTTTCTTCACCGGTCACTTCCTGCTGTTGTTCCTATGCTTATGATTTCAATAGGATATGTTGACCCTGGAAAGTGGGTGGCAATTGTTGAAGGTGGTGCGCGGTTCGGGTTTGATCTGATGGGCTTCACACTTATCTTCAATTTTGCAGCTATTTTCTGTCAGTACATATCAGCAAAGATTGGTATAATCACAGGAAAAGATCTTGCTCAGGTACTATGCCTTCCACTTAATGGTTTATAAACTATGCTGCTGATGTAGTTCTATTTGAAAATTTTGAACTTCTTCGCCCTGCCCCTCCAAAAAAAAGAAGCTATTTGAACTTATTTATTTATTTTAACAATTTGTTGGTTTTGTGATTTTTTTATTTTTGTGTTTTCCCTTCACTCCTCTTTAGCAAGCAATTGCACATTAGGAAATTATATGGAAGGTCATTTCTATTCTATCTTGTATTCCACTCTTTTAGATATAATTTGGAGGTAGGGACATTATACTTATTAATATTGATTGTTTCTTTTACCCTGAAAGTAATAAATAAAGGAATGAGATAATCCCTTCCTTTTCCACCTATTATGTTCGGATATGAGTCCGTTTGTGTCTGGCAATGTGCTATACTATGTTATGAGTCTGGTTATGTGGTGTTTCTTTTATCTGTTTGTTGAGTTGATTACTGAGTTTGTAGTTGGTATCTGGCTTTTCTCTATGACTACAGACCCACTCAGACAGACTCATTTAGAGCTTCATGCATAAACTTAATTAATGTGTTTTGCTTACAGAGCTTTACTTTCTTTGTGCCAAAGATTTGCAGTGATGAGTACGATAATTGGACATGCATGCTCCTTGGAGTTCAAACAGAACTTTCAGTGATTATGCTAGACCTTAACATGGTAATATTTCTCAATCTTGATTTGCCTTCAAGATTTGGCTGACTCTTCAGCAAGGAATATGATCTGTACTTGCTTTAAGATGTTATATTGTGCATTACAGAACTCGTTTTTACTTGACCCTATGATTTGACGTGTTTTGCAAGATATTGGGTATGGCACATGGATTAAATACTCTTTTTGGATGGGACTTGTTCACTTGTGTCTTTTTAACTGCTACTGGTGCTGTCTTCCATCTACTTCTTATTGTCCTCCTTGTAAGTATCATTATTTGCTTATTCACGAATCTCTGTTTATCAACAACACACTTACCATATATCCTTTGTCTAGGACTTTGAGAAGGCAAAGATTCTAGGCCTGATTGTGTCAGGTTTTGTATTGCTTTCTTTTGTGCTTGGAATACTCATTAATCAGCCAGAAATTCCATTATCCATTAATGGAATACTAACAAAGTTGAGTGGGGAAAGTGCATTTGTTCTAATGAGTCTTCTAGGAGCAAGTCTTGTGCCTCACAACTTTTACCTTCATTCCTCTATTGTAAAGGTATTATTTCCTGTTTCTAATTTTTCTCCAAAGCATATGTAGTGAAACATCCATATCCATAGCATGCTTCCAAGCATGTATCTTTTGTGTGCTTCTGGATACGTTTTTTGCTTGTTCTTAAGAATTAAATGTATGCGTCTTGCCACATGGTAGTAGGCTTGCATGGCTAGATGCCATCATTTTTATAACTTGGTTTTTTGCACATGTGTGTCCAAATCCTTGTGTTTACTGTGGTGTTTTACCTTGCTTACTGTTACATCATCTGATCATTGTTTTGTCTAATAAACTTTGTTGGATATTATTTTAGTCAATGTTTTGATCACATGCTAATTTGAATGGTCAGAAGACTCGAAACCAAAACATGCTTAGAGTGCTTGTCTCAAAAGCTTTTTATGTAATCATGTTATCTTTTTGCAAACTTCTTATGGGTTAAAGTTAGTCTTGTAAGTTCACTTATGAAGGGAAGTAAGGGCAACTATGCTAGCGCTTTGGATTGACAATTTGATAATACATGCTTGGGGGAAGTTTGCTCATTGGCAGGCATGAATCAGGAATTGTTTTCAAGTGCGGTGTCATACAGAAAACAGAGAAAAAAATCTAACATTCTTTATTGCTAGATATTGTTGTTAGGGTAAATGTAACATTCACTAATTGGCTCATGAATTGACTGTCATTCAGATTTAGTGATGCCCTTATGCTGTAAAGAACCTTGGGATACACCACCCCAAAAGCTAGCTCAAAGGGTGGGAGTGCTCAAGGCCTTATAAAGGCCACATTAGTTGCCCACACAATCAATGTGAGACTATATATCTCAACACGCCCCCTCACACGAGAGCCCATTGGACTTGAAGAGTGGACAATGCAACAGGCCCAGCCTACCTGTGCTAAGAAACGCCACAAGAGAAAGTGGGGGGCGGCGAGGCTCTGATACCATGTAAAGAACCTTGGGATACACCACCCTTAGAGCTAGCTTTTGGGGTGGTGTATCCCAAGGTTCTTAACATATGCTATTCATACTACTAATTTATTATTGCCTCTTGTTCTCTGACTGTAATTTCCTTCTTGATGATTTTCTGATTTCGCTCTAACTTCTGAGACCCTAGAACAAAAGCCTGATGAAACAATTTTATGGTCCAACATTGGTGAAGATTGGAGCATTCCAGAAAACTCAATTTATTTTATAGATTTATTCTTGAATTTAAGGATGAGGTCAATTGTATGAAAGCCATCTTTTCATTTAATCAATATTCAGAATAGCTCAATAAGTACGTACAAATTCTGTTCTTTGTCCCGTTTTGATTTAAAATTCTACTGAAATCATTTGTCAAGGCATGCTTTGGAACTATAAAATGAACTTATAGTTTGGTTTACTTTAAAAGGAAGAAGTTTGTGTGTTACAATTTATGGAAGCTTGGTCCTCTTTAGATTCTGTTTATGCATATACAGTATTTAAGCTTTTCTGATCTGATTACTCTCTGCACCTAAGTAAAAAATGATTGCATATAATACGCTGCTTCATATTGGTTGGCCATTTTTTCAGTCTGAGACTTCAATTACTATTTTGCAGTGGCATCAGGGATCAACAACCATTTCTAAGGATGCCTTGTGCCACAATCATTTTTTGGCCATCATATGTATCTTCAGTGGCCTTTATTTGGTAAATAATGTGCTGATGAATGCTGCAGCAAATGAGTTCTACAGTATGGGTCTTATTCTGGCTACTTTTCAGGATGCATTATCGCCAATGGAACAGGTCTCCATAATTGATCTACATCAGGATATTTAGCTACAACTTACAAAGTCATATCTGTCTTTCACACTCTGAACAAGTCTAATTCTAAGATTCTTATCGCAGGTGCTGCGTAGTCCAATAGCTGGGCTTGCATTTTTACTCAGTTTGTTTCTTTCAAATCAAACCACAGCATTAACTTGGAGTTTAGGCGGAGAAGTAGTTATGCATGGTTTCTTAAAATTGGATATTCCAGGTTGGCTTCATTATGCTACAATTAGAGTAATTGCTGTTCTGCCTGCCCTTTATTGTGTTTGGAGTTCCGGAGCTGAAGGGATGTATCAACTACTTATATTTACTCAGGTTGTGGTAGCTCTGCAACTTCCATCTTCTGTGATCCCCCTTTTTCGAATTGCCTCATCTAAATCAATAATGGGTGATTACAAGATCTCTCAATTTGTGGAATTTTTGGCATTGATCATATTTATTGGGATGCTTGGCTTGAATATTGTCTTTGTTGTAGAAATGATATTTGGCAGTAGTGATTGGGTGAGCAATTTGAGATGGAGTGTGGGGAATGGTTTGTCTCTCTCTTATTTAGTTCTTCTTAGCATTGCTTTTGCATCATTCTGTTCGATGCTTTGTTTAGCTGCCACGCCTTTAAAATCTGCAAGTGTCCAATTAGATGTTCAGTCATGGAAAAGGGACATGCCAGAGGCTGTACCAAATCCACAGATTGTTAGAGAGGAATCAGATTTAACTGAAACAAGGTATCCTAGAGATACATCTGTTCAGGTGAAGGGACCATCACCAGCTCTAGCAAGGATGTTGGAGTACTCAGATGTACCAGTTGCAAGTTTTCATCCAGATCTACCTCAAAATATCATGGAGCCTGATCTTCATGTGACTCCTCTAAGGGGGAGTCATTCAATTACATCATTTCCTTGCTCCCCAACATCTGTTGTTAAGGAATCAGCTTCCACTTCAGAATCAGAGGCAATACCAGCTGTAATTAAGGAGACTTCTGATGCTAGATTGGGAGATGCCAAAACTTTAAAAATAGAAACAAGCGCCGCTGTTGAGAACACTGTAGAACTTGAGGGAGATTCAAATGCCGAAAGGTATGATGATGATGGAGACTCGTGGGAAACTGAAGAAACATCCAAAATGGTCTCTGCAAGTGCCCCATCTTCAGCATCAGATGGCCCAGCATCATTTAGGAGCCTTAGTGGGAAAAGTGATGATGTGGGGAATAGCATTGGAAGTCTTTCAAGATTAGCAGGCTTAGGGCGTGGTGCAAGGCGTCAACTAGCTGTCATTCTTAATGAATTCTGGGGACAACTTTATGATTTCTATGGGCAAGTTACCCAGGAAGCTAAGGGTAAGAAGCTGGATGTTTTACTGGGGGTAGATTCAAGAGTTCCCACTTCTTTGCAGAAAGGGGATGCATGTGGAAAGGAATATTCTGAATACTTAATATCTGTAGGAAGTAGAGCTCCTGATACTTTAATGAACTCTGGTCCATATGGCTCTCCCAAGCAGCATAGGATGCAGAGTAGCTTAGAGCCTTCCTATGGGCTTCAAAGGAGTTCTTCCTCACTGCAGGCAAATCCCATCCAGTTATTAGATGAATATGTACAGACCTCCAGGCGCAATCTCCTTGATGCTGGTGAAAGGCGCTATTCCAGTGTGCGCAATCTGCATTCATCTGAAGCTTGGGCTTATCAGCCAGCTAGTGTACCTGGTTATCAAATTTCATCATATATTAGCCAGGTTGGTAAAGACACAAATTGTGATAACTTAAATGGTCCGATGGAATTGTCTCCATTGAAACCTTCTTCCATTGGTAATACAAACTACAGGAATTCTCTTGCATTTGCTCTGGGGCAAAAGTTGCAGAATGGTGTAAGTGTTGGCCAACCCCCAGGGTTCCAAAACATTACTGTCTCTAAAAATTGCCAATTGCCATCTGAGAGGTCCTATTATGATTCTCGCTATTCTGGACCTGCAGATTATGCAGTCAATCCAGTTAATACTAAGAAGTACCACAGCTCGCCAGACATTTCAGGATATGCCATCCCTCACAGGGATGTTCACATGTCTGATAAAAGTGGTTTATGGATTGGTTCGGTTGGCTATGGATCTTCTGCAAGTAAGACTTGTTATGAACCATCGTTATATTCAAATTCTGGATCAAGGACCGGAGGTTTTTTAGCCTTTGATGAACTCTCTCCATCAGAAGTCTACACTTCTCGTTTGAGTTCAGGTTTTGGTTCGGGATCCCTCTGGTCCAGACAGCCTTTTGAGCAGTTTGGGGTAGCTGATAAAATTCATAATGTTGCAACAGAAGATGTTGAAAGTAGGTGTAGTGCAACCACTCAAGAAACTACAGTTGTGGATATAGACGGAAAACTTCTTCAATCTTTTAGACATTGTATTTTGAAGCTATTAAAATTGGAAGGGTCTGATTGGTTGTTTGGACAGAATGATGGGGCTGATGAGGATTTGATTGATCGCGTAGCTGCAAGGGAGAAATTTGTTTATGAAGTTGAAACCAGGGAGATGAATCGGGTCAATCATACAGGAAATGCTCATTATTATTCGTCTGAGGGGAAATCCAGTTCTTCAATGAAGAATAATGATGTAAATTGCTCTAGTTTTTTCGTGTCCTCAATCCCTAACTGTGGGGAGGGATGTGTATGGAGAGCAGACTTAATCATTAGCTTTGGGGTGTGGTGTATCCACCGTGTTCTTGACCTTGCACTTATGGAGAGTCGACCAGAGCTATGGGGGAAATACACATTTGTGCTCAATCGCCTCCAGGTAAATTTTTGTAATACTACAGTTTTAGTTTCATCTGCTCTCTTCACACATTTTCCACGGTGGATGTTAGTTGTGGGAAATATTGGCTGTTTCATGTCTCGTGGAGAACTTGATGTTTAATCTCTCAACTGGTATTTCCTTTGGTTGTTGATCACATGGAGAACTTGCTTCAATATGGTATTCACATGCATTCATTACTCGTCAATATATAACTCATCCATTAAGTAGACATTGTACTATGGGTGATTATTGTATGCCATAATCTGCTTTCAAGACTGCAACTTTGTCTTTTCTTTTCAAGGCTACTACCTAAAGTTTTCTCCATTTCATTGGCCTCATTTATCAATTTTTTTTTCCTTTAATGACCAGGGCGTCATTGAACTGGCTTTTTCCAAGCCCCGTAGTCCCTTGGCCCCATGCTTTTGCCTTGAAGTTCCCATATCACACATGCAAAAGTCAAGCTCGCCTCCTTCCAATGGGATGCTGCCCCCTGCTGCAAAACCAGGCCGGGGAAAATGTACAACTCAATCAATGGTGCTTGACCTGGTCAAGGATGTGGAGATTGCTATCTCTAGCCGGAAAGGTCGTACAGGAACTGCAGCTGGTGATGTAGCTTTCCCGATGGGAAAGGAAAATTTGGCATCTGTTCTCAAACGTTACAAGCGTAGATTATCCAACAAACCAGTTGGCACTCATTAAGGGATTCGCAAGATTCACACAACAGCACCATAAAACTTGTAGCATTTGGCCCTCAGTGTGCTTTAACAAAACCAATGTTCCTTGGGCTGTTGTGTAATGTGAAGCAGTTCATGTTATAGATCAAGGACTGCTGTCTCCGTCTACCAAATTCCTTGCAGCATATTTATTTCCTTGTATGTTTCATACGCATAGGGTTAGAATTACTATATGTAATTGCAACAAAATCAAAGGAAAAAGATGGTTAGATGGAAACTGTCTTCTACAATGTTGTTGGCTTATTTTTCATTACGCATCAGGTGGGGGTAACAAAAAGAAAAAAATTGTCGACATGTTTTAATTTGGGTGTTATTATGGCAATTGGTTATAGTGCGAAGTTTCTGTTATAAGTCTTCAAGGGTTAGTTTGGTGAAGGTTGTGTCTTTTGCTGGCTTTTTGATAATTAATTATCAAATTGACTTTGATTATAAATTATTTTAAAAATTTAATCTCTCTAGAAAACATAATACCAATCCGTCTCTGTTTGACCGTTGTTCATCAAACTTACTTGGGTAGTCCCCTACTTACCTGTGTATTTTTTGAAATTTTTTTCCTACTCGGGTAATGAAAGGGATCCCTGAGTATATTTCAAAATTCTGAAAAAATGTTTGAATTATTTATCCAGATAGGGAGGGGTCTATCCGGGTAAATATTGGAGATAAACATGCAAAGTCGTGAAGGAGAACTTAAAATAAATTTTGGCTATAAATGCAATAGTGATAGAGGTATTCCCTGTGAGGTCGCTAGTGGCTACAAAATCCTTCCTGATGTCCATGAATGACACCATCATATCTTTCTTAAACAAGTTAATTTGGGAATTGGAACCAGGTTCCATCAAAGATACTAACAATGTGGTTTTGGGTGGATCCCTTCAATATAAATTGGATGATAGTCTTATTTGTGCTAAGTCAGAAGCATCATGTAAATCATTTTCACATGGGGTTCTTGATAGCCTCCAACGTGCTCTTAGTCAGGCTGAGAATGATTTCTTGTACATGGTTGAGCAGGAAATGGAGGAGCGTCCAGATTTAGTTTCTATTGGATGTTGTGTTTTACTTGTGCTTCTTCATGGTAATGATTTGTATACACTTAATCTCGGTGACAGCAGAACAGTATTGGCAACATGGTGACAGAATGAATAAGAGTGAGAGGCAGTGTCAGGTGAGGTGCATCAGTGCAGCTGCTTGTAGAACTTCCATTCCTGGCCAATCCATAAGATTGTTGATTACCCGGGTACCCCTCTCTCTACCCGGGTAGATAATTCAAATGTTTTTTCAGAATTTTGAAATATATCCGAGTATCTCCTTCACTACTCGGTAGGAAAAAAATTTCAAAAAATACCCGGGTAGGTAAGGGACTACCCGGGTAGGCTTGATGGTCAACAGTCAAACATGGGCAGATTAGTGTTATGTTTTCTGGAGAGGTTAAATTTTTGAAATAGTTTATAATCAAGGTCAATTTGATAATTAATTATTAAATAAAGGCTACAGTGATCAAAAAGCTGTCTTTTGTTTCATATAAAGTTTTGTTTGGTTAAAGGAAATGATTTTTGTTATTAATTCTTATAAAAGTATTATATTATCTTTGGGTTTGATGTTTGTCACTTTAAAGGATATAAAATTGTGTTTTAAAGTGAGAGAAGAGATATACTATGGTAATTGTGTTTGGGGGAGGGGGGAGTGAGTGAGTTTTTTTTTTTAATTTAAATTTTAAATAAAAAATATTAATTTTAACTCAAATGATTGTTCTTTAAAAAGATAAATATTTTTCAATTATCTTTTTGTCTTCTTAAAGATGGATAAAAAATAATAAAATGAAATAGAAATAGGATGTTGTCTTTATCATTTTCTGTACAAATTTTCAAAAACAGAAAATAAAGTCAAAATAATGTGGTGTTTTTATAATTATTGATAAAAAAAACTTTTTTAAAATAAAAAATTTCTTTTCATGCTTTTTTTTCCTTAGCAATTGCTCACGCAATATTTTCTAATATTTAATCATTCACTTCAGCCAACGTCTGAGATGCATTTCAACATCTTAGATTCTGTGTTTCTTTAGTTGCCAGTAACAATAACGGGTATGCACTCGCTCCACTCTAGCCTCTATTCTGTAATTTGAATTTAGACTCCTCCGATTAAAAGTTCTTGCTTCATGCTTTCAATTTTTTGTTTAATTCCCTAAAAAGTCTGCATTAATTTATTTCTGTTTGGTATTGGACTCCCATAACCCAAAACTTACCAGAACCGTTTAAATCATAATTATAATTCATAACCTATTGTTTTCAAGTCATAGATTACATAATATTTATTAGGAAAAAAGTGTTGGATTTTGTGTCTAAATCTTACGGGTTATGAATAAGAAGTGGATTAAAAAAGAAGAGAAAGAGGGAAGGTGAAAGGTGTATGTGGATAGAAGTCCCACATTGGACAAAGAGTGAGAAATGAAAGGGTTTATTGTTGGGCTTCCTCCTTAATGCTAAGCCCTAAGCCCATTAGGGTTTAAGAAATCCTAAAACCCCAAACCTCTTCCTTCCCCTATAAATATATTAGTTGTGGGATGGAGGTAGGTTACAGAAGAAAAGAAAAAAGGTTGACTTGTGAAATTTGAGTGTTTTGAGTGGAAAGCTCAAAGCTTTGATTTTGAGAGTACCTACAGGGAGAAGGTTGAGTGTTATACCTCTTTAGGAAAGTTTGAGTATACCACCATTGTTGGTGATGCTTGATCTTTTGTAACCCATTATTTTCATAGTGGAAATTTGATTCTCGACTAGTATCCCATGGATTTTTACTTTTTATCATTGGAGAAGGTTTTCTCACGTTAAAATTTGTTGTATTCTTTTTTCTCTCTCTCTATCTCCTCTGTGTTTTTTGTTTTTCGCTGCGCTGGCCGACCTAGGGATTCAGGCCGACCTCTGATTGAAGAGTCGAGCTCATAGCTCGACGTTTGACTTCCACAAAGGCTTCTTAACCAAGTTTGAGGGAACCGAGTTCCCAACAATGGTATTAGAGCCCGGGTTCGACGGGTTCTAAGGGAGAGGAGATGGAGACCAATGGAATCTCACATGATGGAGATATATTCAAGCTAACCGCGAACAACTTCACTTACTGAAGACCGATGATGGAAGACCATTTGTAATGCAAAGATCTATATGAGCCCATCATCCTTAAAAAAAAGCCTAAAGACAAAACTAATAAGGAGTGGGAGATTCTGAGTCGGAATGCGGTAGCCACGATCAGGAAATATATTGACAAAATCCTCTTTGAGCATGTCCAAGTTCACGAACGCTACAAGTTGTGAACGAAGCTAGAGTCCATGATTCAGAAGAAGAATCCCAGGAACAAAGCACACCTGGTTCGCCGACTTGTGAAACTCGAATACATGGACGATATGAGCATGATTGAACACCTTAACACCTACAAAGGTATTGTGAATTAGTTGTCTAAAGCTGAGACAAAAATCGATGACGAGATGCAGGCTTTGCTGCTGCTCAGCTTGTTGCCAGAAAGTTGGGGTACTTTAGTGGTGACATTAAGCAACTCGGCTCCTGGTGGAAAATTGAAGATGGATGCCGAGACAGACAGCCTCTTGAAATAAGAGTTCAGGAGAAGGGAACGAGGTGTAACCAACACATCTGAGGCAAACGTGACCGAGAATAGAGGAAGGTCCGACAACCAGGGTCATAGCAAGAGTCGGGGTCATGAGAAGTCCAAAGGCCGGTATAGGACGAAATATGAACAAAGTGATTCTATTATGGGAAGTCCGATCATAAGAAGCCGGACTGCAGGACTCTGTAGTAAGATAAGATGAAGAACATTGTGAAGCTGGATCAGATTATTCCAGAGAAGAAAAAAGACAAGAGCACCACAGCGGTGACTGCCAACTTGGATGTTGAGATATTTCTCCTCGGTGAAGATAATTATTTGAATGTTGAATATGATGACTGCACCTGGATTGTTGACTCTGGAGTCTCATCCCACGTTACTCCACACAAAGGTTTTTTCTCCTCATACAGAGGTAGTGATTTTGTAGTCGTGAAGATGGGAAATCAGGTGACTGATGGGACGAAAATTCGTCCCCATCTAAGCCCATTTTTGTGGTAAAATACCTTCTGTTCCCTCATCTGATGAGAAACTTTTGCATTAAAAACACGTGTTTATATCTTTTTAACAAAAACATAGTGGGAAACAGATGATGAGGTAATCATTTGAGAAATATAGAAAAAGGGGAACGGATTGAGAATATTAAATACACCTGCTCCACTAACTCAATCTCTCTGACCACTTTGCACGGAACGTTGAAAGAAGCTTCCACAAAGCATAAAGAGGTACAACAATCAAGCAGGAAGAAACGTGTATAGCAGAGAATCAAGAGTTCCCATTGGCCAAGAGGAAAGCAAAGCACGGGAAGTGCAGAAGGAAAGGCAAAACTCAACAATAAGAGTCTCATCCAGTAACTTGTGTCCCTCTTGCACACTGTTCACACTGCCCCTTTCATGCAGTCAAGAAAACAACTAAAGGGAAATTACTAGTGTTGCCGTCACTCTTCTTACCTATAAATAGGACGTTCCAACACGAAGAAACCATCGAATTCCTTAAGAAGAGATCACTTTGTTTCAGTTGTAGTTTTTACTTTTCATTTGTATAGTTTTAGCAGTAGTTAAGTGACAACAACTTCTTCTCTATTCTGTATCACCCACTTGAGACTCCTCACGAGCAACAACCATACTTCTCCATTTTATTTTGTTGTAACCTAACTTGTTTCTTATTTATAAAAGTTGTTATTTCTCTTCTCTTTCATTCGTTATCTTTGAACTGAATCTCGGGTCTATGTGATTTCAGTTTGGAATAATTATGTTTATTGTTATAGCCATGTGCTAAGTTATTTGTGGAACGAAAAAGCTGTGAAGTTCTTAAAGAACTATTTTCAAAACTTTTGCACTGAAGCTTTTGTTTTTCTGTGATTAAGTGTGCTATATTCATTGCGTACCAATGGAAATTGAACTCATACTAAGAAAGGAACTTCCATAAGAAAGGGATTTCAGACAGCTTAATCAGAGGAAGAAGGTAGTGTTGTGAAAACAACACTACTGGTTGCCTTAGGAATAAGGAACCACTTTGTTCATTGAAGGTTCTGAATTTAGTAACTGTTGGAGTCAAGGGAACCATAAGAATATGAAAACTTGTGAGCCATTAAAGTTCATGAGCTGAGGAATCAGAGTTGGCAGTGAAAAGACCTGAACAAATTCAGAAGGGTTAAGTCTTGAGTTGAGAATATAGTTATTTAAGAATGGAACAATGAATCTGTTCCTTGTGTTAAACATTGTTTTTATCCTTGAG